CTTACTATATATATATATATATATATATATATATATATATAAATAATATTTATTTAGTCGTACATATGTAGATTAATAAATATATATGTTATATAATTTATATTTAGATGTGTATATAAGACAAATTCACAGTTTTTATACACAGTTTTTTATTTAAAATAAAGTAGCTAAGTCTGCGTGTTTTTTTAATTAGTATCGCAAAGTATAAGTAATTAAATCGTCTATGCTACTTTAGTTTATCATTGTCTGTCTTATGTGTGTAGGATCATATACAAGAAGTCTTAGACAAATGGAATCAAATAGATGATGAAATTTGGGCAAAAGTTATCGTCTTCGAGAGGAATAGACGAGTTGCAAAAGCGTATGCCAGAGCACCTGTCCTCACGATAAACGGTTCGAATGACGGATTCGATGGATTCAGGTACACACAATGCAAATTTTAAATACAATTTTAAATCCATTTTTTATCCAGTGTGTAATATACAAAACATCTTTTAATCCATTTATACCAATAAATATATGATTAATATAAAATCTAAGAATGCCAATAAAAAAATGCCATATAAAGATAGATAAAGATAGATAGAAAATCTATAGATTTTCTTGATCTATAGATTTGTTTCACATATGTTTATCTCTTATTAAAATATGATTAATAAAAATTCTATCTTGGAAGACATGTAATTCAGTTCTCGCTTGATTTCTTATTTAACTCAAAAATCAATGTAGATGTTTTTTAAAGTATTCTCCGAAGTAATGTATGATAATGCAATATTATATAAATTAATCTTCAAATTCATCTTCGTTATACGGGTTATTATATATTCCGGCAAACTGATTTACAGGATAGGACTTTGCGGATTTGACAATCCCATGCGGGACCCGAAAACGGAGGAGGCCAAGCGTCACATAAACCAGGGAGTTAAAATAAAAATGGACGAGCAGGGCAATATTCTTATCAAGAGATTGTGTAAAAATAACGTATATGTAAAGTCGACGAATCAGGAGGACAACGCGATCGGTCCGGAGATCATACGCAATTCGCAGGGTGCACTCGAACACGAGAAACCCGGAAAGGTGAGTTATTACATTAATGCATCACGGTTTCTTAATCGTCCGCGTGTTGGATTTCCTTTGTGAAATATTTATCGGCGAAAGCATCAAAATAGGTCAATCGCGCGAAGGGTGGG